TAAACCTTTGTTTCCTTTTTTTTTTTTTGTTTATTTAAAAAAACGACAGAATTGCTTTTCTAGTTGTTTATGTTTGATAAGAACTTGATCTCTATTCCATTTTTTCAAATGCATCACGCATTTTTTTTTTTAAATGCATGAGTTTGTGATAATAAACTTTGAAAAAGATTGAAAAGGCTGTAATTGCATGCGAAATAAATATGGAAATTATTAAATTCAAAAGTTTTAACCCCTTTAAAATTTTGAAAATAGCTGTTTTTTTTCAGTTGTAGGAATCTTAGCATTTTAATTGTACAAACCTTTGTTCAAATTCATCAATTCATTTTGTATTTTCTGTTATACTTTCGATATTATGATTTTTGAAAAATGGTCGAAAATACGCATTGAAGATTTAATCTTGTTGAATTTTATTATCGAAAGAATCAACTACTTAACACATTAATCAATAAATGTATCTTCGCTATCGTTGTTGGATTGCTATACAAATAGAAACTCCTTTCCTTACTTCAAAATTTTTTCTTGAATGGTTTTTCGATTTCATTAACTTATTTATTCGTTTGATAAAAAATATTGGAAAATGGTTTACAAAATAAAACATTCTATAATTAAGGAAGCAAAAAAAAAAAAAAAAAAAAAAAAAAGAAGGATCTTTTTCTCGTATTAAAATAAATTTACTGCTGTCCACTTTCAAAATGAAAATGCTTCTCCTTTCAACATCCTTCAAAATTGACATATCAAGCCTTTTCTCTTAAGGAATCAAAAATATTCCAAGTACAAAATTAAAAAATTTTCACAGTTTATATAAACGCAAACGAAGACAGTTTTTTTATTATTCTATTTAAAAAAAAGAAAAAAATTCAGACAGCTTTAGGTAGCTTCTTTTTTATAGATTTGAAACAAGCTTTCGACCCACTTGTTTGAGGAGATGGTTTAAATAATATCATTTGTTTAATCCAATGATCTAATTCGAGTAAAATTTCCCATTTTACTTCAATACGCCTAAAAATCAAAGTGAATAGTTGCCTCATGTGTGATTGCACAAGTTGATGTCCAGATTGCGCTAATTGAAAAGCAAATGGAACAGAATCTTCGTAAAGTTTTCGCATATCCAACTTGGGTAGTTGCAGTAAGGCTTGTTGTGCAATGTGTGCGGCTAAAGGCGGTGCATATGGTAACAATGTATGAATAAGAGATAGAACTGGATTTGGCATGACTTCAAAAGGTACTAAGTTAGGTTGAGAAGGAAGTTGGAAGGGTAGCATAAAATGAAACAAACAACTTTCGATGGGTTTCTGCATCTCTCTAGAAATCAAATCCCAACGATCAATACCATGATTTTGAACACAATATAAAAGTTGAATTCTTTCAGTAGCTGTCCAATCAGAATGAAGAGCTGAAACCGGATCTTTTCTTTTGTATCGCATAGATGGGCCGTGAAATCTACCAGAAGCGAAACAAGATGCACAGATGTATATAGAAGGATGAAGCAAAGAGTGGTAATACGGAGATGAGTGAATCCCTTGGGAACATGATGGGCAAATAAATGACGACGACGATACATTTACAAGGGGGTCGGATATACAAGAAGGAATGGGGGCAGATGATGGAAAATGTAACATGTGATGTATCCACTGTTGATGCTCCCAATAACTCACTAGACGTACGAAGTCCAGAGCCGATATGTTTGAATCAATGGTCTTTAGGTATTTCAATCGAAGAAGGCAATCAGGTGCATTTTGATAGATTTTAATACAACTGTTACGAAGCTTAATATATCTATTCTCATTTAAGGAGCTACCATGTTTTCTAAGCGAAATAAGTAAATAAGATTCTTCGTCAGAAATATCCATTGAAGTGCTATTTGGGAGCTCAAGTATTTGATGATCCAATTGAGAATTTATTGAAGATGAACTTGAGTCAAGTGTAGATAAATGTAAAAAAATAGGAATTGACTTTCCAATAGATGCAGAGCAGTCTTTAAATGGAATCGTTTTTTCTAAATTCTGTTGGGAATCGTTTGGATGGAAAGGATCTGCTGCATTGTTCTGTGGGAGAGTATGACTTTTAGCATAAGGAGAGGGTACCAATCCAGATTCTTGAACTAGAAACAGTGGGTCCCACTAAATAAGAGAACTCGTAAATTAGAAAGAAAATGAACATAAGTAACAAAAAAAAAAAAAAACAACGCGAGGATAGAAAAAAAAAAAAAAAAAGGAAACAAAGGTTTAACTTTTTGCTGTATGTTTAGAGTCAAAGCCGTCCCGTCAATTTTTACTAAGTAGTCAAGTTCGTTCATAATTTCTTGATGAGCATAAGAATCCAAGACCCAGGTGATATCAATATATTTCATGCCATTAAAATCATTTGAGGAATGAAAATAAGGATTGTTCATGCTCGAAAATTCATTAATGGTGACCCAAAAATCTCTAGAATCTGGAAAATAAACGGGATGAACCAAGCATTGAGATTCTTGAAGTTCTATGGAGCGAATCCATAATCCTTCTTTCTTTTTCACCCGATGTTCAATGTGTGGATACAGAACGTGAGTTGTTTCAGAGGTAAGGTCATTATCCAGTATCCCTATGACAAAAAAAAAAAAAAAATTAATTGGATTCTATCTAAAGAGATAAGGTTCATGTAAATGATTATATAAGAAAATTTTAAAAAATTTTAAAAAACAAAATTTTTTACACACAATTATATAAAAGTATCAAAATAAAGTGTTTAAAGGAAAGGTCAACTTACGAACATACATCCTAACTCCATTACATTTTTTTCAAAATCTTTTAACGCATTAGCGTAATGTTCTTTTAAGATAGGAGGAAGAAAAAGATGGGGTATACTAATAAAGTTAAATTCAAGCAGTTTTTCGTTAATGTAAGACAGTAATTCATTGAGTGATAATTGTGGCGATGGAAATGAGAAATGGGTTTGGGTAAAAAAAGTAGGTAAATGAATCCAGGTTTGCCAATCAAAAGAATGACTCTCAAAATATTCTAAAGCAGATTTCAATAGTATGATTCTTGGTGAGCGAATAGTAGGATCTGGATTACGAATCAAATGGATGGGTAGACGAATCGTAAAAGATTGGGAAGGAGAGGTCTTTTTGGATGTAGGTGGAGGAAGCTAAAAGAAAACAAAGGAGAGGTAGAAGGCATTATATTTTTGGTGTGAAGAAGGAACAAAGAAACACACAAAAAGTTAGGTCATTGAATGAATTTAAGTAAAACAAACAGAAATAAGATTTTCCTACATAGAATGAACAAAAGCTTGAAGGGTAGAATAAAGAAGGAGAGGCTCATCATGCATGTAGCTTTAAAATTGACATCGAATCTATTCATTGTGCATGTATACTACTCTTTTTTTCTTTTTTTTTCTCCCTTACGAAAATCTAGAAAGAAATCACATATAAGTGGAAATGAAAAAAAATGGATAAATTTCATAAGTGAGGTACAACCGTTGCCAACAAAGTGAGTAACGCAACAAGATGACCTAAACTTTTTAATTGAAAATGAGGTTTAAGGAATTGAAGTGTGCGCGCAAGCTCGGTTAATTGAATTTCATAACGAAGTGGTAAAGAAGTATCATCTGGATCTTCAAAAAATAATGGGGAGAAATGTGGAAATAGCAGGTTTAAAAAATGACCCGGCGCTAACGTCCAAGGCTCAACATCTACTTCAGTATTGAAAATCATTACTAATAATTGATGCTACCTCGTTAAACCATTCAATTCTTCTTCTTCTTCTTCTTCTTCTTCTTCTTCTTCTTATTATTATTATTATTACAATTAGTAAAGGTGTGGTGGTGGGGGTGGAAGTGCAGTTTTTTTTTTTTTTTTTTTTCCAAGAACTACAATGATGATGCACTCCAGAAATGTTTTCAATTTCTTTTCCCCCAATGGTCTTCCTTTAAAAAAAAAAAAGAAAAAGAGGAATCTAAATTTAATTCTCATTCTAAATTTTAATACAACGACATCGAGACAACTCGCTACTTTCCTTATTTAAATAATGCACTAAAATGTGAAAGTGCTGCAGAATTTCGCTACAGATAATTTCTCAAACCGTTGGTTAAGGAAGAATTTTCTTTTTACATGTGGAAGTTTTTCTGTGTAAAAACTTTTAAAAGAAAAGAAAAGAAAAAAAAAAAAAAAAAAAAACAACTCAAACACAAACACAAAATGAACCCACTTTGCATTAATCAAACTTTTCATTGAATTCTGTATACTGAAAAGGTACAATAAGCTTAAAAGAAAATACCACGAAATGAACCTAATTTGATCGCAGTCCTATCCTTTGAAAGAGGTGGATACCATATCCAGCTCTATGGTCAAGGGACCACCAGCTGAGTTATATTTTTTATTTTATTGACATTAAAATTAATCAACAAATTATTAAAACCCTTTCTGGTTTTATTCCTTTTCTTATTTTTTGAACTTTTTAAATAAATAAATAAATATATATATAAATATATATATATAAATTTAAATGTGACCAGTTGCTTATAGAAGAAATATAAGAGATAAAAATGATATTGAAAAGGAAGTTACGGAACTAATCCAATATAAATGAGAAACTTAAAATTTTCAAAATCGCGTTGAAGTCGGAAATGTATGTATAAAAAGTTCAAAAAAAAAAGTTTTCAAACTGAAATAT